CTCAGGAAGCATGTCCAGCATCCATAAGCCTGTTCTTTAGCTAGGAAGCAACAGCAACACTTTCCCAAACAATGCTTGAATTCATGAATTATGGGACCAAGATTTATTTACAAGCCAAGAAAATACTGCAGCTCAGTTACATTCTGCTTTCTCTTCAAAACAGGAACCATCATACCTGCAGTTTAAGCCGAAGACAGAAATTTACCTAAATTCATATTGATTCATACAATTCAAACACATACTCATCATTCATTCAATCACTATACTAATGATTTACATGACTGAAACTTCACACTTTCTGAAAGCTCAATTATAATGAAACAAATGCTGAGTGTTTCTCTATTCTAAATCAAGCAAATAGCAAAATACTTCTTTATGGCCAGGCTGGATCAGGCCCTGGATAACCTGATCTAGCTGTGCATATCCCTGTTCATTGCAGGGGAGTTGGACTAAATGACCTTTAAATATCCCTTCCAAATCTAAGGATTCTATAGGAAATTCTACTCATATTTTGATGCATTCCAGTTCTCTATGTGAATCACAAGAATTAAGATACTACCTTTTGTTCTGTCTGTGATAGTCAACAGAAGAAAGGCATTTCTTTCAACAGCTAGGCTCTTTAGAATATCACAAGCGAGTTAAGCTTAACATGTGCTATCTAGTATTTACAATGGAGAAAGAGGGTCTCCACAGCTGTAGAATAATGACACTGATCCCAAATATTTCTTTAACTAGCTAGGACTAACACTTGTTGTCATATCAATCAAATAAATCAATCAAATATTTTAAAAAGCATTTTCATTAAAAAAAAAACCTTCAATGCCACTCAGTTCCGCCCAGCATCATTATTTCAGGTTTAAAAGTGATACACATTACTTACTGTCATAGGAAAAGACTTAAAAAACCTTAATTTATCTGAAAATTCCTGCAGGAAAAATATGAGTTCATGCTTTTGAAGTTGATGGGCAAAACTTCAGTAGCATGAATAAGAAGGGGGGAAAAAAAAAACCAAACATGATAGAAAAAAATTACTTACTGATTTTTGCATAATGGAAACTGCCTGGAATCTGTAGAAATTATTTTAAGCATTCTCTCTTTTTTCTATATCTATAATGTAAAATTTTCATTACTTAATGGAAAATATGAACATTCTACAGTGTCATTCTACAGAGATGAGACTAAATTTTACAGAGCAATTCCAACCATTCACAGGGAGAGAAAGTATTTTACAAGGAATATACAAGGTGCCCCATGAAACAAAGCAAACAAACAAAACAAACCTGTTATATGTAGTCCTATATATCATAGCTTACGACATTCATCCTTAAATTTGTCAGATCAAGAAAGAACGAAGTACTTTCTTGAAGTACTAAACAGGTGCGTACTTAGGTTTGAGCTCACACAACAGTTATCAGGACTGTACATTGGATTATAGCCAGGTTTGTACTAACCACTTCATGGGTCAAGGACCTCGATTTGTGGGTGACAGTCTCTGAACACCTAACACAATAAGCTACTAGAGGAGTTGATGGCCCGAACCACAAAGACTGCCTATACAAATCTTGTCAAAGACAGCATGCTGTAAAACCTGAGAATTTTCATAAGACAGAATTTTCACCCAAGTTTCTGTGAAGTTTCACAGAGCCATATAGTAACTTTGTTTCAGGCTGGTAAGAGACATAGCATAGATGACTTTGTGCTATCCTCTTCAGAGCTAAGATGACTTCAGGAAGGCCTAAATGCTTACAGCCCATATTTCCTCAGCTGGGCAATACATTTTTCTAAAAGAAAACAAGAATTAAGCAAAGCCTGTACTCAAAAGGACCCTCAAACTCTAGAAGAAGCACAGTGTGTGTGTCTGAACAGCAGCTGAAAAGTCACATAGCTTGGAAGACTGCAAGTAGTGCATTACTAAGGCTCACAGGGATTTGCTCAGGTTTCCTCAGGAAACCAGCCTAAAAATAATACTGAATGAAAAGGATGATGAGAAAGATGAATCCTCCCAGGGTTGAGCTACCCATAGGAATCGATCTACCGTGATACACAAGAACAGCTAGGCTCAGTTCTCAGGCTGAATGGCCTTGAACCTTTTATTACGAGAGGGCGGCTCTGTGCATGCTGCCTACTGAGGACCATCCCTAGCCCACAGTAACTCCTAAGCCACAAAGATAAAGTCTTAGGGAAAATACTAACTGGCCCGCACTCAAAGCATAGCAGGGATCACTTTACCAACTTACTAGAGCAGACAGTCAATAGCATCTTGGCACTGTTTAATTTAATAATTTAGAAATAGCCTCTTTGTCTTTCTGACCTGTTTAAAAGCAAGTACACTACTCACATTTCTTCTGTTTTGTTTCTCGGAATACACAGGACCAGATTTACTGTGAAGAATTTGTGTGTTTGTGTGGTGGATCCTAGTCACAGGTGATGCTTTAACAGTCCCCCTAACACAAACAATATTTCTCAGCTGTCAACATACATTTATTTGTTAGATTCATAATCTTGTTGCACAGTAAACTTCTCTATCAGGTAAGTGGCAAACTTCCAGAATTTCAGAGTTCAGATTTTGTTTGGAAAAGTATTCAGAAGTGTGGATATCCATCTACAGTTTATGCAGATCATTTGAACTCTTTGAAACTGCAAAAGTAGGCAGAGAATTTCACAGCATTATAACTTATAATATAACTTTTCCAAGTTTAGCAAAAAATTCCAGCACTGTGTGCAAGTGGACTGGAAAAAACATATATATTTATTGTAAAATGAAGGAAAGGAAGGAAGGAAAGGTAGGAAAGGAAAAGAGTGAAGGAAGGAAGGAAAGGAAGGAAATGTAAGGAAAAAAGGGAAGGACTCATAACTTCCACATGCAAACATAGATGCTTCTTTCACTAACGTTAAGAACTTCAAAATCTGATTCAAAACCAATATTTTAATGTGCTATTTTTGTTGGTTTTAGGGAGACATGAACACTTTCAAAAGAATTTGTTTTCATTCCAACACAGAATGAAAACAAATGCTGAAACCTTGAAAGTTGCCCTGAATTTAAACCATCATCTTTGCTTAGTTTAATAAAAGAACTCTTCACTCCTTTGTCAGGCCTCACCTGCTGGTTAATTTCTGTGCTCAAAAGCAACTGGCCCAAAAGCGGTCTTAATCTGAGGATTTCCTCTACTCTCTCAGGAGAACGTTTGATTGGACTACCAAAAGTATCAATACTAAGATTGAAGCAGCTACTAGGTCAGTGGATCATTTCTTCCTTCTCTAAAACTTGTTTTCACAGCTTGAAATATTTCTAATGATCACAGCAATGGGTAGGAAAAAAAGACAGTGACCACTTGAAAATCTGGGACTACTTTGACTGAATTAGAAATATGAAGAAAATGTTAAATGAAAATAGCACTAGTTCCCTTGCTGGTTTGGGATATAATTGTATCATATATTTATTATATTGTGTGATTTTGGCAAGTGAGATCTATTGCCCAAAAAAGGAAGAAATATTTCAACATTAGAGTGATGCTTGCAGTCTTTTAATCAAAAGATTAGAAGTGTCTGATTCATGAAAGCACAATATGCATTTGTTACTAGCAATATTTAAGCTATCTAAAGTGTCTAATTCCAAGTCTACAATTGTACTGACATGCTACACATTAATAAATACATAGAAAATTAGTATTTCTCCAAATGCTGGCAGAAGAAACTGCCAGAATTACAGGATACACTTTGGATAGGGCAATTAAAGGCACCCCTACAGAAAAGAAAAAAAAAATTTGCAGATGGCATTATCAACCTGTTAAGAAAAAAACAGTAAACACTTTGAAAAACTCATTTTTGCTGAAGCATATAATGTGCTAAATAAATATATACAATGAACAGAAACAAAGCTCACAATAATTCTCTCTGTCGTTCATAAGTGTAACAAAAACTTTGGCTCAGATAGCATCGTTATGTTATCCTTGTTCACATAAGTAAATAGATCCATCAGCTAATACAATGGCTTATTATGAAAGGGCTGAAAAATGACCACAGTGTTTCATCTAGGCAGAAGATGAGACTGAATGTCTCTTTGAAACAGTCTTGATGCTTCAGAGGCTTGCTGGAGCTAATGAAGAGAGACCATGTGGAAAATTGCCTCCTGAGGGTTGAATTTGTGTGGTCCCTGGGGTTTTATTCTCCCTCCCACCTCTCCTTTGTGGATGGAGAGAAAGGGAAAGTAAATCTTTATGAGTGCTGCTATTCTTACATTTTAAAAGATCATTGTGTGCGCTTCAGTAAGGAACTATGTCATGGATCTCTTGCATGACAACTGAGGTCTCTAGCACCAGCTTACTATAAAAGTGAAAAGGTTAACCTGTGGAAAGTGAAAGCGTTGGAGAGCTGGAGCACCAGGATGGTGTCTTGCAAAATTTCTGCAAAGGGAAGATAGAAGTAAAAGAGAAGATGTAGATAGATACAGCTTGTGAGGGCTCTGAGCACCACAAACCATGTAATTAATTTTTTCAAAGTTACAACCTGAAGGTTCACACAACTTTCTGTTACATAGAAAAAAAGCCTGCAATTTCTTCTCATTTTCACTGGGGGGATTATATTTTGAAGCAAACCAACACAACAGCAACCATTTGGACTTTATTTTACTTTTTCCTGGGCAAATTATAACATTTAGAAAACATGTAGCTGAATTCAACTCTTTCTAACTCAAAATGGCAAACTGCAATAGAAAAGCAACTTCAGAAGGTAACAATCTTGAGAATTACTCTGAGGTTGACCTAATGATTTATTATAGTGTAAAGATGTGAGGGAATCATATTTTTGCTGAGGGATGAAGATTAATTTTTCTATCACATTTCTATAGAATCAACAAGACAAATTGCAATCTATTTGCTTTCAGACAACTCTTAAAGTACAGTGCTCTTAGTTCTCAATATTCATTAAATTTCAAAAGCTACTTTGCCTACTATTTTGCATTATGATCAAAGGAAAATATTGGAAAGTTTAGATTTGCTCACCTTTGCAGTTGCCCCGATAGGCAATTTCCAGCTGAGGATCTTTGCATTTTGCTCGTTGAAATTCACACCGGGACAAGAAAGTTCTTCCATCAGATGCACAAAGTGATTTCTGAGGAGAACCAGCACAGTCCAGGCTGCATTCTCTGTCTTTGTCTTGATCCACCCTCAAAAACTAGAAAAAAATAATAATAATAACAATTAATGCTGTAAGAATACTATTCTCATGTGAAAACTGCTCCATGATCCCCTCCTCCAGGGAATACACGTAAATATTACCCAAAAATGAAAGAAAAGCTTTGTCTTTTTTGCCTATTCAAATAATAGTGTATTCAATGTATCTGAGGTTGTTCAACTTCTGTTATAAGATGGTAATGACTGCAATATTTCTGTAACATAGAATAAAACACCATCACAATTAGGGAATCTATGAATCCTCCTTTAACCATTGTGAAGCTGAAAACAGTGTCTTGGATGCTCTAGACCAAAAAAATGTTGGTAGCAGAAACATTTTTCACCAGTAAAAAATGAGACAGCAATGTATAATTTTCAAATTTATTTGCTGTGGATTAACTAGCCTATAATAACAGGCTGAAGAGTCTGTTCTAAGGATCTAAGTAACATTTTTTTCACCCAATTCTTTTGTAAAAATATTTCCATAATATGTCCAATTGACTCAGTTCAGGAGGCCTGAGGAGAATATGAGCAAAGTATCAGAACCATATGAAATGCAACAGATCACATTCAGAATGTGAAGACTCTTCAACGAAACAAAAAATTCAGAAACACTGTATAGATACATTTGTATTTGTGTGCAAGCTTGCTTTTAAAAACATAAGCCAAAACTGAAGAGGGAAATGCTGTAGACAGTATAGACACAACTGTGTCTCAGCTGCTATTCCAGAGTCTCATAATGGGCCAGAAGAAAAGACAAAATCTGAAATGGGCCATGGACTGTCCACTATGTCTCTACTCAAGTAATTTTATTCAATTTCTTGCCAACAACAAAAAGTTCTGATTGCTCCATTAAGTGCTGTCTGACCTATGATGTGGATCACCCACATCTGCAGTTTCCCAGGAGTTTTCCAGCCCTGGCATGGGTTTTCCATGAGGTGTAGTCCCTCAGAAGTGTTCCTGCATTAGTTTGGTTAATCCATGGACTACAATACTAATTTTTTTTGGACTGGTATAGGGCGGTTAAGCATCCTTGCACACAGGAAAGCCCTGCAAGACCTTTGCTACTCACATTCTTTCTGCTCTGCTCATTACAACCCAGGTTTCTCCTTTCTCAGAAATTCAACCTTATCTTCTTCAGAAGACAGTGATTGAGTATTTGCTGATAGAAGTAATTAACATTGGCCACATTTTGAATTTCACCAAACGCTCTCCCCTGCATAGTTCTGCCACAGAGCAATACTAAAATCTCCTGGATGCTCAGCGGACTGGTCCTGGCAGTGAAGCACGCTTTAGTTGGACTAGATGATCTTAGTGGTCTTTCCCAACCTTACATGATTCTATGATTCTAAACTACAGACACAGTCAACAGAGTTTGGTGTCCTCTTGGTACTGGGAGGAAGAGGAGCTACACACCCTGGAACATACTGCCAAAAGCCAAATCATTTCTAATGCTGCTGCATGCAATACAGGAACAAAGATAGCATGTTATCCTCTGAAAGGCTGGAATGAGGACTGAAGTGAAATCACCAAGTCCTCAGAAGAATTTTTCTATCATTTTGTTGTTTCTCAATAAACACAAAGATATGCAAGTCATAGAGCTAACAGAAACTAACAATTCCCCCAAGCATAATGAAGCACAATGGAACGGATCTGAGAAAAATTCTTCATTCATTGCTTTTATCAGTGCCGTTTCACCATCATAAACTTTAGGTATGGAAATTCTGGAATTCAGATTACAAATGAAGCCCACTAGAAGGAAGCTTTCAAACAAATGAATGAAAAGGATGACAAAGAGTAGCATTTGAGCAGCAAAGAGTAGCTTAAGCTAATAAATTCACAAAACTGTTTCTACATGTAGCTTCCCTGCATTTATTACTAAAAACATGTATAAGGAGAGTCATAAAATTCCGTAATTTTTGTACTTGAACTGTGGTCTGTTTGCATTTCCTATCACTTAATCTGAGGAAATACAGACGTCTTTCTGATGACTATGCTTGAGAATGGAGAGACAATCTCAGTGGTATCACTTTAAAATAATAACATGGTTGAAATTTTTATCTTTTAGTGGCACAGTAATACAAAAAGAAAAGCTTCCTTTTCCTGATATTTTTAAGCATTTCTTCATTTTTAACTATAATTATTTTCAGAAGGAAATTGCTCACAAATTACGCACAAATTTCAAATCCACCTTCCTCAAATTTAGCTATGTCTTCAGAAAGAGATGTTCCTATATCCTCTATTCAAAACATTTTGCAGATCCATTTCACTGACAGGAATTAACAATTAGCTGAATAGAGTGGGAAGATGACTGAAGTCATGTTTCTCTATGAGCAAAGTGAGCAACAGTGAAGACCATGCCTCTGCCCAATCTTGAAACGATGGTGCTCTCCTGGCAGGTGCCCTCATGAGCTGCAGGGAGGCATGATGAAGTCCTCAAAGCTTCCCTCTCTTGCCTAATTCAGGCTGTTAGAAGGGGCAGTCTTGAAGACATCTGCAGGACTCTGGGGTTAGACCTAGTCAGGACTACGAATAGCACTTTTCAAGGACATAGGCTGCACGGAGCCTCTATCAGAGGGACTGGATCCAGTTCACTGCTCTGCCTCAGGCATTCCAAGTGGATTTAGTGATGGCAAGTCAAACAATCTCCCTTCTCCTATTTTGTGAAGTAAAGTTCAGAGTACAGCCTTTCACTGTTCGTAAGACTACTCCTCCATCTCTGTAATGGCTAGAAACTTTGCCATTGTTAACTTATCCTCAGCAACATCTCTGTTGGGCAAATTATTATTTTTCAGGAGTATAGAAAGACTTCATGACCAACATAATAACATGCGGCAGATCAGGGAACTGAACCCAGGCCTCAGGAAAAAAAGAAATCATGGAGAGAAACAGTCTAGTTTCTGTTCTATTTTCCTCTCAGACTTTCCTCATCTTTTCTGTTCTGAGCTGATGCAGAAGTTTAGATGGGTATGCCTGATGTGGACAAACCACAGCGACACAGTGGACAGAAAATCCCCTTAATTGTCTGAGGAACAAAATCCATTCCCTTGAGAACGTGATAGTTTACAGATAAAGTTATATTTTAAAGGGCATTTATCCAAAGAGTTTTATTTAAGTATTTTATTATTTCAAAGCCTTAGAGAAGATTAGGGTAAATTATGGGTTCAAGAATATTCTAGCAACCTGGAAAAACAGAGGATGAAGATATACCCAGGAGACAAAACCACTTGAATAGCTTGTTAGTTAGCCAAACCTCACTGGAGAATTTGGGTTGTACATCTACAACAATTTCCACCAAGTTAGCGTAACTGACAAATTTAAGAGCAGGAAGGACAAAAAGGCAAGTAACTTCTAGAAAATATAGCATATGAGAGAGCCTAGGAAATGTACTTTGAACAAATAAAAAAGGGAAAGAAGATAAAACCTGTGACTGAAAATTGGAAAATATTCCATTGTTATCTTTACTACAGCAGCATATGTAGCCAAAAGAATAGATAAATGTGTCAAAGCTAGTAGAGACACTGAAATATGCAAGGGATAAAAGATTTGCCTTATCCTTAGATAGGAAGAAGCAGTCAGTGACATAGAAACTGGAATTCCACTGATGTACATCTTAGAGTTATTGCATCATTCTTCTTCCTTAAAGGAGGAGAGTTCAGAAAGAGAGAAAGATGGTTTGAAACATAAGTCAGTATTGCTCATCCTGAACTGGCTCTTCTATCTCTAAGTTCATATAGCAAACAAATTTGTTATTGTGAAAAGAGAAGATTCACAGAAAGACAAGCTTAAAGTAATATTTTTGTAACTTGCTGGTAGCAACCAAGATGAAGGCAACAACAGTGGAACAACCTGAGCTGGAACTATTCTGAACACTCAGCAAAAAATAAACAATTATGACTAAACCGTATTTGAATGCAAATAGTTTTCAACAGAGAGGCATTCCTGCCCCTAATAGCACAGAAAGCAGCCTAGTCAAATTTCAGAAAATTGTTTTCAACAATAAATTTCAGCTTATGCTACAGACTACCAAGTGTGACTCCTTTACTGGAGTTAGCACTTGCTTATCCCCTGCTTTGCGTTTTAATATAATCAAATATTTTTATGGTCTCCAATTTATTTCAGCATTTCAATGCATTATATTTTACAGTAACTGTAAATAATAGCCCAAGGGGCTATTATTCTACAATAGGCACTGCTTAAAATTCACGCACAGTATTTCCAAGAAGAAAGGATAATGGGAATATATCAGAAGACTTCTTGATTATTAAGTTTACCTCAGCTGATAAGACTAAAATTCACTATAAACTATATGTATCTAACAGATATGATCATAGATAAAATATTATTACAGTCATGTGTTTCATGAAATTTTCTTTCTTTGTCACATATACCAAAGGCTCTTAGTACTGTTAGAAATGAGTTCCTTCTATTCAACCACTAGAGTCAGTGTGATTTCATCCTTCAGATACTTCAGTCTGATAACACTAAAATCATCAGATTATTTAGTTGTAGATACCTGAAACCTTCCTTTTGTTGGGGAAAATTATTTATACCATTTTGTATTCTGCTTTGCTTTACCTTTCCGCCTTGTTCTTGACATTGGTCACACATCCAGGCTGTGGACAATCAGGATATTTTTTCCTCAACCACAAGCAATATGCTGCAGTCCACAAGCCAGTTTTTCCAGTAGTCCAAGAGTAGGCATCAGATTGTTTCTTTATTGTGCCATTAAGCAGTTTATCAAAATAACATCCATAAAATTATTCACTACGCATAGCATAACCTGCATCTTCTCTTTGTCTTACACTATTCAATTTTATGCAGGGATTTGGTTTCATTCCCTCTGGTATATATTCGGACTCCTCACCACTTTTATGGCAAAAAAAAAAAAAAAAAAAAAAAAAAAAGTCTTCATATGAAAATGAACCACATGCATATTTATATGTTTCCAGAACTGGGATGCCACCATCTACAGTACAGAGCAACTCTTTCTACTAAGCA